GAACCAATGACTGATGGCGTGTAGCAATTGACATTCCAGCCATCCCAGATTATTTTCAATGCCAGAAGCCCCCCTTTCCACATTCCAGGGGATTTGAGATTCTAAGTGTTCCTCCTGTGATCCGTTAGTTCCACGGGCCCCGTTTCATGGTGGAGGAGCTGGAGGGAGAGGGGCACAAAGCGGCAGACCTAATGAATCAGGGGGCAGGCGACAGCGCTCCCATCTCAGCGGCAAGCTGGGTGGCTCATGTGTCAGTGACTCCCGCTGCCTCCCCAATGTGGGCACCAACCGCTAATGTGCGGGAGAGAGAGCAGGCGTGGGACTGAGCATTTACAATGCCTCTCAGAGCAGGGAGCTCAAAATACCTTCCTCTTGTCGTCTCTCCTAACACCGAGAGTCTGTCTTTTTCATTCTCGCATGTAATGATGAGAGCCAAGAGCGCGGATGTTTCCAGCAGGATGAGCCTGCAAGAGCATCCGCATTGCTGGCAGGCGGGGGCCCAGGTGGGCAGCTTGGGCAGGAACAATAGGGCCTTGGATTGATCAGGCAGCAGCCAGCCCATCTGGCTTCTGCTCCTGAGCAGGGGCCGGGACAGAGGAGCATCCTGCCTCCTCCTTTGCTGGGGGAAGGGACCAGCGTGGCTAACACACTCTCCTTCCCTGACAGGGCGATGAGGCCTTGGACTGAGACCTCTCTTCCTCCCACTGAGCCTGTCACCTGCCAGCCCCCAAGGTGTTTGAGGAGCAGGGAGTGGCATCGTGCCCACTGGCACTAACCAACATAATGATCAAAGAAAGCACTCTACCTCTTAAGTGCTTCTGGAGCCCACATGAAGCGAGGTGAGGCAGCATCTGCATGTTTTATACGTACCGTGGAAGTCAGGCAGCAATTCCTGCCGAATGGAAGCGTGCCCTCACTGGGCAGTCATGGTGCAGGGAGGGGGCAGTCACAGTGTGGGGCGGGGGCAGTCAGCAGCAGTCTCGGGGCCTGAGGCTGATGGCCTGTGCTGTCTGCAGTCAGTGGAGTCTCCAAACCCGACCCACAAGTCAGCTGAGAGGCATGCGTGCAGAGGGCCTGAAAGCCAGGAGCACCGACTCTCTGCGAACATGCGTTTTCTGCAGCCGGATAAAGGCCCCTTTCACCCTTGGCGCAGCACGAGACTCAACCCGTGCCCGCTCCCCCCACAGATAGCAGCTGTCAGGCCCCGGAGGAGCCTATAAAGTGCAGGCATCAGTCTCAGCTGGTGAGAGGGACATTCCAGAAATGGAGTTTCAGAGTCGCCTCCCCCTCCGCTCACCAGCCCCCACAGGGCGGCGTGTTTATATTTTGGAGATGATCTCGGAGCAGATGGGGTCCAGGCAGGAGGGTGGCGGCTATGGCGGGCCTTGGGGATCTCCCCACCTTCCTTCCTTTTGCAACAAAACCACTCCAGCAGAGACTGCTTTTCCAGCGGAAGGAAAAAGAAAGACAGCATGCTAGTGTTTTCAGATTTGTTCCTTGTGCTCCTTTGAAGTCTTTCAAAGTTGAAGTCTCCGGTGGGACAAGGAAGCTCATTGCACACCTGACTCCTGGGGGCATCTGGGCGAGAAGGAAGGCCATTTCAGAGGAGGGCTGTCACCCAGGCCCCCAGCAGGGAGAGGCTCAGGGTCCTGCTTCTGTGGAGCCACCAGGGCGATTCTTCACACTCTCTTTATTGGACTACAAATGTCTTCCCAAATGAGCTCGCTCCTAATCTAATTAGCGGTAAACAGGCCTCCAGGGTGCTCGCTGCTTACCGGATGGATGGCATGAACAGGAGAGAACGGCTGCTATGGGGAGATCAACTGTGGCTTCTTTGTGGGGTGCAGTTGGGGCGGGTGATGCGCTGGCAGGGGTGTCTTTGCTTTACAGGGAGACAGAGGCAAGTGCGGATCCTATTTGTTCTTTGTGTCCCTCACGCCTGAGGCTCTCTGAGGACTGGGTTCTTTCCGCTCCGTCTCCACTGTGTCATCACCCCCGGCACAGGGCTCGGCGCACAGTAGGCCTTGGTGCACAGTAGGCCTCAGGCTAGTATTTGGTGATAAGTTGTTTGCACTTGCACCAAGCTTTAGAGGCAAACAACCAAAACATGAGGTATATTCTGAGCTCAACGTACCTCAGGGCTGCCTGCGAGGCGTGGCCCCCTCCCCAGCCTGACTCCCCGTGCAGACGAAGAGGTTCCACGGGTAACGCATTTTAAAGATTGGAAGCTTTAAAAAAAAAGGTGGGGGGGGGGGGGGAAGCATAATCCATAGTAGCAAAAATAAAGAAGCCAAAATCAGCTTCATATTTAGCCTTGGGGGAATGGGTTAGCAGTTTACGGCTTGTACACTGAAGCAGATCCCGTGGAACAGGGAAGAAGATAATGATCTGAAGACTAAGCTGTGCCCAGCTGGCATGCTCAGTGGTTGGGCATTACCCATGAACCAGGACAGGTTCGTGGGTCAATTTCAGGTATGGGCTCGGTTCCAGTAGGGGACATATAGGAGGCAGCTGATCAGTGATTCTCATCATTGATCTTTCGATCACTTTCTCCCTGTCCCTGCTCCGAGATCAGAAAAATCTATTAAAGACAAAGACTAAACAATGTGGGAATGATTATGATTAGTTCTAATTGTAAAAAGGGAGGATCACCAGTTGCATGCTTGATATTCATGTGACGGCCTTATGGACTCACAATGGAGGCAGAATGCTAGGAAAGAATGGAAAAACACTGAGAAAAGTTTGAGATGATGGGAGAATTTTTTATTTTATTTTTTTATTTTTTACTTCTCAAAATATGTTCTAATGTTGACTTTATATATTCAGTGTTTTTCTAAGAAAAATATTAAAAGAATATTTCAAAACCAATCTTATACCCCGAAATGTTAAAACAATTCTCTCTGGGTGGTAGTATTAAGTGGAGTTTTAACGATTTGTTAATAATTTCTGCATTTGCTTATTTTTCTCTGTTGAACATTTAACATTTACAAGGAGCTAAAAGCAATGCAGCAAAGAGGCGTTCTCCCCCTTCTCTCCTTTGGGGCAGACAGACTTCCTTTCCCGCGGGTCTGGGCAGTTGCCCTGGGACTTGCTTTGGCGGATGGGTTGATGGCCCTGCCCGAGTTGTGTGTGACTTCACTTGTGTCTGGTTTGAATCCGGCCCATGGCTCTGCAGCATTTTCACAGCCATTCGCTCACTGAAGCAAATGGCCTTGCGTGAGATGGTTCCTAGCCTCGTTCCCAGCGTTTCCGGCTAGGTGGCTGCTTAAGGTGACACCGACAGGAAGTGACTCTGCCCCCTGTCCCCTGGGTGGCCGTAAAGCCAGGCTGTGCTGCGGTAACATCTACGTGACAGAGCCGCTACAGATTCAATGAAGCAGTGCCTTGGTTTCCTTTAGCAGGTTTCCCTAGCTATTTGCTGAAAACAAAAGGAAGTAATTGCCTGTCTTGTATTACAACATTTAGCATATATATGATATACTAGTAAGTTCCTTGAAAACAAAGTAGAAGAAAAGTTACCCAGAACCCTCCCGTCCAAAGGTACCAGGGTTACCCACTGATCCACAGCCTTCCAGTGCTCTTTTTCACACATACACACACAGCCTATGTAATAATGAGGGGATATGCAAATTGACTGTCACACCATCACAAAGATGGCAGCACCCATAGCCACAAGATGGCGGCACCCAGTGCCCTCAGTCCCACCAGAGTATCCAGTCCTTTCATCCTAGCCAGGGAGGCAGCAGGCACATGTTGCAGTCAGTCTAGCCCTCAGCCCCCCACACTGGCCACCCAGGACCAGCCCAAGGTACAGGTAACCAGGGCTGGCTGAGGCTTGCACTGCCGGCAGTGGCAGCAGCAGAGGTGTGATGGGTGAAGAGGCTTGCACTTGCCTTCTCCTGCTCGCCAGGTCACCTGAGGGTTCCTGGATTGTGAGAGGGGGCAGGCTGAGCTGAGGGAACCCCAATCCAATGCATGAATTTTCATGCACCAGGCCTCTAGTATTATATATTCACAACACTGGATCATGCATACCACTTTGTAACATGCTTTTGCCCCTAAAAAATGATCATAAACACAGTTTCTTGCCAATAAATGTGTCTATAACAGTGGCACTAATTATTGCATTTTTCATTTTATGAATGAAATATTAATTTTACATATCCAATTCCCTATTTTTATTTTTTAATCCTTACCCCAGGATATTCTTTTCGTTATTATTATTATTATTTTTAGAGAGAGTGAAAGGGAGGAAGAGAGAGAAAACTGAGGATTGAACCTGCAACTGAAGTACGCGTCCTTGACCAGGAATTGAACCCATGACCCTTCCATCCACTGGCTAATGCTCTAACCACTGAGACAAATTGTCCAGGGCATCTAATCCTCTATTTTTAATTTCTTTTCTCATTTTTGCTATTATAACTATCTCTTTGATGAATATTTATGGACATAAATTCTTAAGCAAGTGACTAGTCAGTATTAAAGGTAAATTTCCAGATGTGGAATTACTGGTTAAACCCACAAACATCTTACTATCACTTTGTACATATTGCCCAATTGCCTTACAGCAAGCATGTCAAACCCAAAGGCTAACAGGGGCCAAATAACCAAGGCATGTGGCCCGCAGGCCCTGAGTTTGACATGCTTGCCTTACAGAGAAGTTCCAACATACCCATTGTACCATAATCCTGCTAATACTGGGCCTTCATCCCTTAACCTTTGTCTACTTGATAGATGACAAGTGATATTACAAGTGATACTGCACTGTCGTTTTAACTTGTGTTCCAACAAGACGTGCTGGCTCTCGCTCTGAGTCTGTTGTGACAGCGCCCTCGCATCCTTGGAAAGGAACGGAACTGGAGCGGGTGCGCCTTTTGTGGCAGATTTTGCTGAGCAGGAAAATGTGCACCTGTTTGGAGTTGGCATCGCATTTAGAGAGCGCGGGGGGAAATAGACACGAGGCCAGCACAGCCAAGGGGATTGCTGCCAACAGTACTTACCAAGGACATCAGCGAAGCCGTGAGCCACTCCGGAGGGATGTGGAAATGAGCCCCGGCCGAGTCTCCCAGCAGCACGATTCCCCTGGGCTCTGACCCTGGGAGGCACAATTCAGGTGAGTTATTTATGCTCTCGTGGTCTCAAGCCTCCAGGCCGCGCAGTCAGGGCATCAGATGCCCCCGCGTGTACCCCCCGCACAGGGCACGCAACAGAGATGCCAGGCCGCTGTCTGTGAGGTGCAGGGTGAGGGACAGCTGAAGGAGCTTTCCAGGCCATTGAACCCGTGAGCTCAGCGGTACAGAGGAAGCAGGAAGTTTGTTCCCAGCTCAGCAGGAAACAAACTGCCGGGAGACATCCAGAGTGGAGGACGAGAGAATAAATGGATCAAAACTTTATCTGGGCTCAGCAATATGCCCTCAATTCTGGTTCTGGAAATTGCTTTGTGGAAAATGCACCGATTTCTGATATAATTCACTTTAAGAGTTACTGATCTCATGGAGCAATTCTGATTTATCGAACATGTGATGGGCCCTGAAAGCTCTTAATCCAGAAGCACCGGACAGGCGATTCTGGCGATTGATGGAGCGACAGCCTCATGAAGGTCTCCAGGCAGCCCGAGTGTGTGGAGGTAAGGAACCACTGAATCAGATCCTGGGCCCATCTACACAAATCATCCCCCCCCCCCCCCCCCCGCCCCGTGGGCAGTGCACAGACACTTCCAAACGCCTTCCGATCCTGGGAGAAGGAACTGATGCCTCCTGGGGTCAAAGAGGAGAGCCTCCTTCCCCCACGTCCACCCTCACCCCCCATATCAGCCTCACTCCAGTGGCTTCCTGTCTTGGGCCCGCGACAGCTAGTCCTTGGCCACACAAATGGTGACTGGGAAAGCCCAGGACATCTGGCAGGGATTGGGACCTGGGGAATTCAAGAGGCTTCCCTCAGAGATCCTAAAGGCCTATGCCAGGATCTCCCTTAGATCTGAGTCTATTTACTCATTCCTGTATTTCTTCATGCATTCTTTTATTCACCCCACAAGCATTTTTAAACCGTGTAACTAGGCATCAGGTCTTTGCTTGTCCTGATCCCCTCCTGCCCCTCTGAGAAGGGAACTATAATTAATTATATTTAAGCTGACAGAGCAAGGACTGGATTATGTCTGCCCATGAAAACTCAGAGCCAAGTATAGCTCTTGGTACTTAAAAGAATAGATATTCAGGGAATATCTGTTGAATGAATGAATGAATGGAATGAATGAATGGATGGATGGAATGCTTCTAAATGTTGGGGAAAACCATTGGCTAGACCTAAAACAGCAATGCTACCACAGAGTCTCTTTGGGCATCACCGGAAGTGGCTAGTGATGATTCCTCCTAACAGCACTGGTAGCCCAGATGGCCCAGGCACTTAGGATTTAGAATACAGAGCTCAGCTACTTTGGGGAACTCCAATGGCTGCTGCTGGAGGGTTCACTGAGTCACCGGGTGTGAATCTTCACCTGGTTGGCAGGGACTCTGTCAGTATAGGCCCAGGTACCTGAGCTTGTGTTTTGAGGAGGACACGGAGAGGATGGCAAAATGTCGCCCGCACTGATTTTCTTCCCTGGGGAAGTGCTGGGTTCAGTTACGCTGTTTTCTACGCTGCGGCTTTTTCTGACATTGTCATTCAGGTCCCCAGTCCGCAGGAAAAGGAGTCCATTACACAAATTCAGTTTTGCTTTCTCTACATCCTGCCTCCTCTTACTAGAATCCTTTTCATCTCCCCTTTGGATTCCTCATGAAAATAAATGTCAACTGGTCACGTGTAAATCCTGGCATCAGGCACTTCCTCACTTGGGTGGTCTATTCCCTTCAACTGCCTCAGACAGGCAAAAGCATATTCTGATGGGACAAACAAACAGACTTTTACATTCTTACCTTCACAGAACTTCTTCTCATAGGGGATTCCGTCTTTTGGATCAACACCCTTTAAAAGAGAAATGACAAAATTAGTGATTTGTCTTTGAATTTATGAGACACATATACCAAATCCTCCCCAAATGGCTTTAAACAATAAATAATTTAAATTAAAAAAAATAGTTGAAAAGGCAAATCAGTAAATAAAACCCTTAAAGTCTCTCTAGTCCTTAATCAGACACATGTGAGGGAGCTGGGCTTTAAGGAACTGGGGTCGGGGGGTGAGGAGAGGTCCAGACCTGGACTACCTTGTCCCAGAGGCTGCCGGCAGGCACTGGAGTGCAGGGTGTCCCTCCGAGGGAGCACAAGGCTCCACCAGTGACTGGGCCAGGGCAGAGCACAGTGTCTTACTGGCCTTCCTCACGGTGGCATAACCCAGAGGCAGGGATGGGGCCATGGGACAAGGACGGTCTCACACACTCATCACCCCTCTGTCCCCCAACTTGCCAACATAGCTTAGTTTATCAGAACAAGAGTGGCCTTGGGGGTCTTGACACTTTAAGATCTAGGGGGGATGTCTCCTCCTCCTCATGACAAGGCAGGTACCTGGCAGGTGGGGTGACCCCACCTCTGACTAGCCTTAGGAAAAAGAAGACAATGGCTGCCATGACAGGGGACAGCCCGCGCTTGCCCAAGGCGATGTTCGGGTTGCTGCAAAACTTTGCTAACACCACTCTCCACTAATTTCACACTCAGAGGAGAGTTCAGAGGTCAAGTGTGGGTGACCTTTAGCAAGGCTTATAGGGGCTGCGATGATAATTGGCCAACTTGGCTCAGTGGTTGAGTATTGATCTATGAGTAATGGTTCAATGGTCATGGTTCAACTCCAAGTCAAGGGCATATGCCCAGGTTGTGGGCTCCATCCCCAGTATGGGGTGTGCAGGAGGCAGCCAATCAATGATTCTCATCATTGATGTTTCTCTCTCACCCTCTCCCTTCCTCTCTGTAATCAATAAAAAAATGTATTTTTTTAAAAAGGGTCTGCGATGAGTAATCCCCACCTCCCGTTAGTGTGGACCCCTCATGTGAGACCAGAGCCCTTCACCCGTCTTCCCTGCAGCAGAAAGCTGGCTCCGGCCCGTCCTCTCCCTCGGGTGTGACGAACGCAAGGAAGGAGCGGGGTCGGGAGGCAGGCGGAGGTCGCCTCTAGCTGCTCACCCAGATGCCGTTGCAGTTGGAATCCCGATGCACATCCCAGTGGTCCGGCCTACAGGGAGAACACAGCATCGGTGTGGGCTCTCACTGGTCACTCAGTGCCTGAGCGTCATGAGTACATGCACATGAGTGCCATCCACAATGTCCGGACAGACAGCAGGCCGCTCAAGGGAGACAGCCCACGCCTCTGCTATCTTGGTTTGGGGTGTTTGCCGGGAGCCGTGGACAAAATCAGGCTTTTCGGGGTTGACCTGGTCCCTGAACTGCGTGGCTGGGAACAGGGCGGATGGGCGCCTAAAGGAGCCTGCAGGTCACTGTGGTTAGACAGGCGAGGCCGTTGAAGTGCTGCCTCTCCCGCCCTGACGCCTGGCTAATTTGATACTTTGGCACCAAAGTCCCAGCTGAGGTGACACAGCCATTTCCGGAACTGAAAGATGTGATTGGCTGAACACCAACCCACGACTAACATGTGGCATGCTCCCCTCGTCCTGGTGGGAGAGGGGCTGACTGGGCCCAGCCCTGCGGGCAGGACGCGGGCAGGAGGCTGGCACCATCCTCAGGCACTGCTCACATGGCTGTTGCTCCCATGAGGCCATGAGCTCTGAGAGGAGCCTTTCTATCTCGTTTACCCCTCAGCGGGGCGCAGAGTGCCTGGCCATTAGCAGGGCTCCCTGAGCCTTTCTTGCACAATCGATGCTCTGGTTTCCCTGAGCTTCACTCCCATCAGGCCATGTGGTGGGGGCGCCTTCCCTCTGCTGGCGGGGACCCCTGTGGCTGGGGAAATGAGTGATGCTTCCTGCCTCCTTTCAGGAAGGTAATTTTCAGAATCAGTGACCAGCGGAGACAGTTACCTTCTGCCGGGGTAAGCCATCTCGTCGCTGTCATTGCAGTCTCTCCCTCGCCAGTGGTAACCACGCAGGGTCTGCAATCCGAGGGCAACGTGGGGAGGGTCAGGTTCTGCGTTGATGTGAAACGAGGAGGGGCAGTCGGAGCTGCCGGGGGGGGGGGGGGGGTTGGGGTACTGACACCTGCAGTTTTTAACTCCGATAGTCGAGGAACACTAGCGATCGCGAAGATTAAGATGATAACATACACTGTGAGGTGAAATGTAACATGGTCCCAGGGCCAATGACAGGTGGGGTGTGTGGCTGTGAATGTGTGTAGATGTGTGTGTATACATGCTATGGGGTGTGTGCCTGTATGGGGCTGTCTGGGGGGTGCACGTGTGTGACTGTATATGTATGTGGCACATGCAGTTGTGTGTACACATCTTTTACATATGTGTGCATGTCCACACATATGTGTCTGTTCCTGTGTGTGTCTTATGTGCACTTCTAGCAACTGCAGAACCATCCAACTCCTTGAACTTTAAAAAAAAATTTTTTAAGATATATTTTATTGATTTTACACAGAGAGGAATTGAGAGGGACAGAGAGTTAGAAACGTCGATGAGAGAGAAACATCAACCATCCTTGAACTTTTTAAATTAATTACCAGTCTAGTCTGGCTCCAATCAATTGATTGATTTGGTCAGATGTTTAATCATTTCACGGATAAGTAGAAAATCTCTAGCTAATGTAGCCGGTCACATGCATTTATTGTATGTTGGGCCTGCCTGATTTGAAGACATGAGAACATAGAACACTGATTTCACTTCCCCCTTCCCAGGTGGGGTAGCTGAGCTCTCTCACTAGGGGGACTTCGTGGCATGTTACCTGCTTGTTTCTTTCCCAAAGAACACCCTGACACTCCCTGCTCTCACTCAAACACGCCCACTTGCGGAGTCTCATACGCACACGCGCACACACTGAGAAAAGTAAGTTGAAGCAGGCTTCAGAATTTCCAAAATAATTCCCAGCGGGCTGCAAAACCATTTCAATCCCCGCGGAGACTCCTGGCTGGGAATGGCTCCAGGAAACAGAGCCCAGGCCTACCGTCCCCTTCGGTGACTCATGCATTATTCAGGCGCCAGAAAGCCGGGGAAAAGTGTGAGATGGCGTATTATCAGGTTAATAATACACTCCGGGGGAAGCCATCTCGTCTTATTAAAACGATTGTAGGAAGCGATGCAGAAGCCAAGGACCCTCTGGCTACCCGCACCATGCTTACCGGGGAAACACTGTAATTGTCCGAATCGCCATCTCTGAATGGCACCGCGTTCTTTATAGCTCTGGAAGAAAGAAAACACAGCTCCTGGTGAACTAAGAAAATAGAAGCTGTTTGTGAAAGCAAAGAGACATTTTCTGATGTGGACGGGCTGGGTGTATGTGACAGAAGCCCATTCTCATACCGGAATAATAAGAGCACCAGGCCAACTTAGCCAGCCTCCCCCAACCATCAGAGCTGTTTCCTCTCTGATGCTTAACTGCTCCTTCCCCCAGCCCCTCAGAAAGGAGACTGCGTTTTCAGTCCAGTTGGTGCGCTAGATACTTGCAGGTCGAATTTGTGCCATTTGACACAGCCTTGGTGATGGAAGACTTTTCTTAAAACTTTCCTCTTGAGCAACTTATGCTGAGAAATTGAGGCATAAGATACGACAGTCTGTATGCATTACGTGAGGCAACGCATGTGTGGGTTTGTGCACAGGTGCACAGGGAAGAGGGCCTACGAAGATAGGGCAGAGACTGAAGGCATCCAGGACACCGAGGCTCACCGGCCAGCTCCCGAGGCTGACAGGCAAGCAATGATCGGACCAGGAGCCTCGGAGGGCAGCTCAGAGTGAGCCGAGGCTCAGAGGGACCCTGCAAATACCCTGCTTTCAGGCCTGCAGCCTCCAGGACGGGGTGAAGAAGCCACCCAGTTTGTGGATGTTATAGCCACTCTGTAATCCAGTCCTACAGCCTGCCCCTCACCTCCGCATCTCACCCGAAGGCCCTTGCAATGCGAGCTAGGCCAGCCTAAAATGGGCTCCAGTACAGGCCTGGCAGGAGCAAGGATGAGAGTAGAGGGGCGGGTGGGACAGTGTGCCCCAATGAGCACTTCACAGTCCTAGAAGCATCCCCTGATCAGGGAGCATCTCTGCTCCGGCACCTGAATAGGAGGTGAGCTCCGGGGAGGACAGAGGCCCGGAGCCTAGGAAAACACACTGCTCTCCCACCAGGTCGCAGGTCAAGGAGCCTGCATGTGAGTCATCCCCAGTGACTGAGGAGCAGCCATAACTTAGCACATAACTTACATTAAGGTTTGGGGAAACTGAGGCTCAGAGACATTAAGTGCTCATTTTCAAAGCTGGCTCAGGAGACAGCATTGCTCAAGAGCCAAGAACGTAGATGTTCCCAAAGATCACGTGGGGTCCAATACCCTGAGGGTAGGGTCCTTGGTGGCTGGGAGACATGACTTCGTCAGCAGCCTGTGTCCCAGCCGTGGAGACTGCGTTGTTCAAAGCTCAGGCCCTGTCTCTAGGTTGTGGATGGTGATGAGCAAGAAACACAGCACTTTCTGAAAGATGCTTTCATGCTGCGACCCTTTTTGCCCACAGAATACAGGGACAGATACTACCCCGTGCCATGGAAGAGAGAAAGTATACATACCGCTTAATCTCCTGACAGACCTTTGCCAGAAATGGGAGGGAACAAATATCAGAACCACCTCTGGAATATTTCTGGAGAGGAAAAAAAATAAGGAAAAGAGCTGTTTAGTTCAGGGAATGGTTCTCCAACTCCAGGAGGCCCTTCATTTGGCCCCAGGGTCAGGATTCCTGAGTTCTCCCTCTGCAGAGCCCAGACCGTTTGACTGAACTGAACTTACCACCTGTTTCTGTGCCCACGCTCCCGTCATTCCATGGTGGAGCCAGTGTTCAGGCTCCTCCCTCAGCCTCAAGGCTGCCTCTTTCTGTCCAGCCCAAGAAAGCACCACCTCCACTGTCCTCCTCCATTTATCCACCTTCACCTGTCCTCTTCCACCTGTCCACCCTCACCTGTCCTCCTCTACCTATCCTCCTCCACCTGTCCTCCTCCACCTGTCCTCCTCCACCTGTCCTTTTCCACCTGTCCACCCCCACCTGTCATCCTCCACCTCTCCTCCTCCACCTGTCCACTTCCACCTGTCCTCCTCCACCTGTCCTCCTCCACCTGTCCTCCTCCACCTGTCCTCCTCCACCTGTCCACCTCCACCTGTCCACCTCCACCTGTCCACCCCCACCTGTCCACCCCCACCTGTCCACCTCCACCTGTCCTCCTCCACCTGTCCTCCTCCACCTGTCCTTTTCCACCTGTCCACCTCCACCTGTCATCCTCCACCTCTCCTCCTCCACCTGTCCTCCTCCACCTGTCCTCCTCCACCTGTCCACCTCCACCTGTCCTCCTCCACCTCTCCTCCTCCACCTGTCCACTTCCACCTGTCCTCCTCCACCTGTCCTCCTCCACCTGTCCTCTTCCACCTGTCCACCCTCACCTGTCCTCCTCTACCTATCCTCCTCCACCTGTCCTCCTCCACCTGTCCTCCTCCACCTGTCCTTTTCCACCTGTCCACCTCCACCTGTCATCCTCCACCTCTCCTCCTCCACCTGTCCACTTCCACCTGTCCTCCTCCACCTGTCCTCCTCCACCTGTCCTCCTCCACCTGTCCTCCTCCACCTGTCCACCTCCACCTGTCCTCCTCCACCTGTCCTCCTCCACCTGTCCACCCCCACCTGTCCACCCCCACCTGTCCACCTCCACCTGTCCTCCTCCACCTGTCCTCCTCCACCTGTCCTCCTCCACCTGTCCACCTCCACCTGTCCTCCTCCACCTGTCCTCCTCCACCTGTCCACCCCCACCTGTCCTCCTCCACTTGTCCACTTCCACCTGTCCTCTTCCACCTGTCCTCCTCTACCTGTCCTCTTCCATCTGTCCTCCTCCACCTGTCCTCTTCCACCTGTCCACTTCCACCTGTCCTCCTCCACCTGTCCTCCTCCACCTGTCCTCTTCCACCTGTCCACTTCCACCTGTCCTCCTCCACCTGTCCTCCTCCACCTGTCCTCTTCCACCTGTCCACTTCCACCTGTCCTCCTCCACCTGTCCACCCCCACCTGTCCTCCTCCACTTGTCCACTTCCACCTGTCCTCTTCCACCTGTCCACCCCCACCTGTCCTCCTCTACCTGTCCTCCTCCACCTGTCCTCCTCCACCTGTCCTCCTCCACCTGTCCTCCTCCACCTGTCCTTTTCCACCTGTCCACCTCCACCTGTCATCCTCCACCTCTCCTCCTCCACCTGTCCACTTCCACCTGTCCTCCTCCACCTGTCCTCCTCCACCTGTCCTCCTCCACCTGTCCTCCTCCACCTGTCCACCTCCACCTGTCCTCCTCCACCTGTCCTCCTCCACCTGTCCACCCCCACCTGTCCACCCCCACCTGTCCACCTCCACCTGTCCTCCTCCACCTGTCCTCCTCCACCTGTCCACCTCCACCTGTCCTCCTCCACCTGTCCTCCTCCACCTGTCCACCCCCACCTGTCCTCCTCCACTTGTCCACTTCCACCTGTCCTCTTCCACCTGTCCTCCTCTACCTGTCCTCTTCCATCTGTCCTCCTCCACCTGTCCTCTTCCACCTGTCCACTTCCACCTGTCCTCCTCCACCTGTCCTCCTCCACCTGTCCTCTTCCACCTGTCCACTTCCACCTGTCCTCCTCCACCTGTCCTCCTCCACCTGTCCTCTTCCACCTGTCCACTTCCACCTGTCCTCCTCCACCTGTCCACCCCCACCTGTCCTCCTCCACTTGTCCACTTCCACCTGTCCTCTTCCACCTGTCCACCCCCACCTGTCCTCCTCTACCTGTCCTCCTCCACCTGTCCTCCTCCACCTGTCCTCCTCCACCTGTCCTCCTCTACCTGTCCTCCTCCACCTGTCCTCTTCCACCTGTCCTCTTCCACCTGTCCTCCTCCGCCTGTCCACCCTCACCCATGCTTCCCCAAAAATCTGGCCCACCTGGGGCCAATCTACTCAGATAATTCCTCTCCCTCCTTGTACTCCAGTGCTTTGAAAAAGAATTAAAAAATGAAGAACATTTTCAAATAAAATGTTTCCATCCTCTTAGGAGGCAAATCAAGAATTTGCCTAAGGAGAGCCATGCCAGAGCTTGGGAGGGAGGAAGGCAGTGCCATGCAGTCCCCGGGTGTGGCGAGCAAGGGCGTGTGGGCTCCACCGGGCTCCGTGCTCTGCGAGGCACCGAAGCCTGGTCTTTGCCCAGCTGTCTTTCAGGAAGAGTGTGGCTTCCATGCTGCCCTCCGCTGAAGGGAGAGGAATGGAGGGGCCTGCCAGCTGGGGCCTGTCTCCACAGAGCTGGAGGTTGTGAGCCTGGCAGAGTCCTGGTTGTCCATCTTTTCACCACACAGTGTGGGAACGACTCACCTCTTCCCTCTCCCTGCAGAAAGCACTGAGGCGCACACCGAGCAGCACTGTGGAGGCCCGGAGTGCATGCTCGCCAGCCCTCTTCCGATCGGCACTTAGCTGGACAGTGGCCAGTGTGTGGTCAGCTCAGCCAGTTCACCGTGCTCCTCTGGAGCATGCAGTCCCGCCCACAAGGACGCCTGGAATTGGCTGGCCCGGGGCACACCTCCCTCTTGCTATCCATTTCACCAGCTCCTGCTTGCATCCGAGCTTCCCCCACACCGGGATGTTATAGGAAAATAGACAAACAGAGGGACTCCTGGTGAATGGGACAAATCTGCCCCAGCCAGCTGTGGAACTTCCCTTGGTGAAATGGTGTTCCATGCTTGTGCATTATGTTACTTGGGTTCACACAGTCTGGGGTGGAGCAGCTGTTTTTAAAGGCGTCCCAGCAGATGTCACTGAGTGGGTAGGTGTAGGGTCAGGGGCCTCATGTACAGTCTCCGGCTGAGCATGGCATGACCCTAACCTCTCCAGAGCCTGTGATGTGACTCTTCCTGAAAGTTCGCACCAGGAGGGCCGGGTGAGAGCCACTGACATTGCATGAAGGGCAGGAAGTGGGAAGAGAGTGAATCTGTATTTAAATTATGGGTCTCTCACTCAGTAGTTGTGGGGAGTGAGCCAGTCGCTTCACCTGTCCGGCCTTGGTCCTCTCACCTGTACCGTGGTTAATCATGAGGGTAAGCTATGGCTCCACAGGAGTTTTTGTGAAATTAAATTCAGTGGTTCCACTACTCGGGTACTCCAAGCCTCCCACACCCAGTGTCTGCCCCATCCTTGCACAATGCTCCCGGGTCCTCTTTGGGCCTCTGGGCAGTGCAGACCTTCTCCAGAACCTTCCATTCCCATCAATGACGCAGACCTTCCCCAGCCTGGGTCCTGGCATCTGACAGCAGACAGCTCTCTGCATTTCTCTCCGCATCCTGGCTGGTCTACAGCTCTGTCGGCCACTGCCGTGGAATTCACTGCTGCCCATAACCTCAGAGCATTTTTTCCAAAAACACTTATTTGCATTTTTCTGATTATTTTTTCCTTGAGAGCTTTAATCTGGAGAGTAAATAAAGTGGAGGAGGCTTTTGAGAAGTCTATTATTGTTGAATTGTTCAGTAGGTTTTTGTTTTCTGGCTTCATGAGAGAAATTGTTGGAACCCGGCCCTAGGAAGTGCGCTCGCAATTCTGGTGACGGAAATAGAAAACTGTAAAATGCTAATTAGTCCTTGAGCTAATGCCACGGCAGCTTGTGCGAGTGCGGACACCAAGCCCTGGGAATAAGTTCTGAGATGCGTGTTGAGAAGGATAAAGGGAGGATGGTACCATCTTCAGTTCTGTTTAGAATGCCGAAGTGCTGGTCAAGGGCTTCGAGCCCTGTTTCAGTTTCTTGCTCAGTGACTGAAGCAGATGAGCTGAAGTAGCTCCAATCGGACTTCTGAGATTCACTGAATTAAATAACGATCGGCAGTGCGGACATGGTGGCCGATTAATGCATCCTGTAGAAATGCCTGCATGTTGCCATGAACCGGTATATCAACCTTGGACATCAAAACCCCGATGCCCCCCACGACTAAAGCTGCCAGAGAAGATACCACCCTGGACATACGTGCATGCGCTACAAACTCTTCATCTTTATCTGAAACTCCAATGGAATCGGGCGTCCTCTATTTGTATCTGCTCCATCTGGCCAGCTGAGCGCTCTGGGACTCTCTCCCCTTCACTTTCGGGTTGCCAACTCAATACTGCCTTCCTGGTAGAGCATCAGGGCGAGTGGTGAGCGGGCCAGCAGGGCGGGCCCTGTCCTTATCTCCCCAACGGCCACTTCCTCCTGCCAGGGCTCAAGCATCCAGGAGGGAGACACATTTTTTTTTTCTTTTGGTTAATCTTCACCCAAGAATATTTTCCTGTTGATTTTTAGAGAGAGTGGAAGGGAGAGGGAAGGACAGAGAGAAACATCGATGTGAGAGAAACACATCGATTGGTTGCCTCCTGCACACACCCTGACCTGGGCTGGGAATCTACAACCGAGGTACGTGACCTTGACTGAAACTGAATCCAGGACCCTTCAGTCTACAGGCCGATGCTCTATCCACCAAGCCAAACCAGCTAGGGCTGATTTGTTTAAAGGTCTACTCTCTTGCTTCCTTTTCAGTGAGGGCTGATTTGTAACCAGAGCATAAATCTAACACCTGGACTAAGGACCACTAGTGTGAACCAAACATTCTATCTGTTGAATGAAAGTATTATTACAAACAGGGCAAATTAGGGAGAGGAATCATGTGATGACTTCACTGGCATTTACGGAGGGCTCGATAAATCCCAGGCCTGCTTCTATGTGCTCTGCACACATCCACTCCGCTAGTCCTCACATACATGATAGAAACATGTTACTGCCCCATCTTACTGACAGGAACACGTTACTGCCCCATCTTACTGACAGGAATGGTTACTGCCCCATCTTACTGACAGGAGCACGTTACTGCCCCATCTTACTGACAGGAACACGTTACTGCCCCATCTTACTGACAGGAACATGTTACTGCCCCATCTTACTGACAGGAGCACGTTACTGCCCCATCTTACTGACAGGAGCACGTTACTGCCCCATCTTACTGACAGGAACACGTTACTGCCCCATCTTACTGACAGGAATGGTTACTGCCCCATCTTACTGACAGGAGCACGTTACTGCCCCATCTTACTGACAGGAACACGTTACTGCCCCATCTTACTGACAGGAGCACGTTACTGCCCCATCTTACTGACAGGAGCACGTTACTGCCCCATCTTACTGACAGGAACACGTTACTGCCCCATCTGACTGACAGGAACACGTTACTGCCCCATCTTACTGACAGGAACAGGTTACTGCCCCATCTTACTGACAGGAACAGGTTACTGCCCCATCTGACTGACAGGAACAGGTTACTGCCCCATCTTACTGACAGGAACAGGTTACTGCCCCATCTTACTGACAGGAGCACCGAGGCTCAGTCTCAAGTCTCATGTGTAGAAAGGGGAGGAGTGGGAGGATACACAGCCTCCAAATGGCCTACTGCAGGACAGCAGGTCTCAAGGGCGCTCAGAGGACACAGGACATCAGGAGACATTTTGGTCGTCAGGACTGGGGAGGGGTGGATAGCAATGCTGCCTTCTAGTGGGTGAGGACAGGGATGCAGCCAACATCCTACAATGCATGGGACAGCGCCCAGGACCATGGGCTAATTTGTCCCAGATGTGAGCGGTGCAGAGATTGGGAGGGAGGGTGGGAGCTCCTAGTCCCACTTCAATCCCAAGTCAACTGTGGTGCCTTCTTGGCTGGACTCAGAGCCGCTGCTGGCCTGTGAGGCGGGAGCAGGGCCAGAGGGAGGTCAGCATGCCCGGGGTTGGGCTGGCTCTCTCCCGGGGGCCGCTTACCAGAGGTGGGGGTTTCTTGACGATCTGCCTTGCCTTCTCCAGGGTGGATTTCCACGCCTCCTAGAAAAGCAAAGTTAGACCACATTACCCCTTGTGTCTTCTCTCTTCCTTGCACGTCTTTTCTAAACTTTTCTAAAGTTTCAAGTCTGCGAGTTTGAAACAAGGAGGTGAGTCCACAAATCTGTGCTAAAGCGAGTCACAGAGGCAATGTCATGGCAGTGACGATCTTCAGGAGGGGACACCTCTGTGTGGGTGCCACGGGGAGTCCTCTGCACACAGGTCCTCCTTCAGTCCTCCCCCCAGCTCCAAGGGAGCGGGCCTTTCCCCAGACAAGGACATGGGAACTCGGGGAAGCTAAGGAACCGGCTGAAGGTCACAGCGTCAGGGTCTGACGGAGCCTCAGTCTGAACACCTGCCTTCCTGCCCGAGAGACTCCCCCATCTCCCCAAGGATCCTGTGGCCTTGTGCCTGGAAGCCCCAGAGCAGGGGCCCCAGCTAACCCCGGGCCTGTCCCATAGCCAACAGCGACACTAACGAGGACTGCCAAACCCACAGAACCCTCAAAAGCCACAGGATGGGGGAGGGCCCAGGTGGAGAGTGAGCACACACCTGCCCTCCCAGCGTCTCCAGCGGGCAAACAGACAAGACAGGACACGTGCAGGAAACAGAGGGTGGATGACGCCTAGGGGGCTCGGCAGTGCCTTCCTGGAGCCCCTTGAGGGGACCGGGGTGGCTGTCACTCAGCTCAGTTCTCGGGGGGATGGCTGTGCAATGAGGGAGGAGAGACCAGCGGAATAAAGTGGCCGGGGCTGCCCCACATGCCTCTGACCCCCTGCATGCCTCCGTGGTCCAGGCTGAAATGCCGAGGGCAGGCTGGTCTGGACCTGGCCTGCCCAGAGCTCCATCACCAAGTAAGCTGATACCAACAGGCAGAAGGAAGCCCAGATAAAGGGATGGTCTTTTCTCCCCAGAAGAAAAAGGGTGAAGGAACTCTGAGGCATCTGGGAAAGCTAATTAGTTTGCCTGTCTTAATGGCAGGCAAAGGGGCAAGTGGTGCTTGAGTGAAAACGAAGATAATTATCTTTCCTCGATAACCTTTCACTGCTGCCCATCTCGTGGTTAAGCATTTGTTTCGAACGTGTGAGGGTCATGCTTTCCTCTCCTTTCTAGTTAAATCTTTAGGCTGGAGGCTGCAACTGTCATCAGAAGCTGGAGAGAAAGTTTGGGAAGAGACTGGGAGCGGGACAGCAAACCCTACGGCTGGAAGCCACCATGCTGTTTACCACTCAGCCAGGCCATCAGCAGACTCCCATCAGCCGGGAGATTCATGACGGTCAAATCTCTGCAGCTTCTCATTCCTCTCTCCCTTTGATGATAGGGCTTCCTTCTCTCAGCCCCACGTGGAGCCTATTGAATGCTCGGGAATGGATGGCCGAGGACGTTATCACAGAGACTCATGGAGTCCAGAGAACCTTGGAGACGTATATCAGATTGCTCTACTTGGGGATGTAGAAAATCCCAAGGATGACATAGCATTGGGCCTGGCAGTGTAAGAGGGACCTGTCAGCCCTTGGCTTGACCATCGGAGATGCACAGTAGCATCTGCCGTGGTGGCTGGCAGAGTCCTTTCTCCTAGAATGACTTCAGTGTTTCTCCAAACCAGAGCCAGCCTGAGGTCTCCAGACGAGGCAAGGCCTTGATGACGACTGCTCTTGCCGGGCAGGGGCCTGGTGCTCGGTCCTGGGCTCTGGAGAGTATGGGTGACAGCAGAACAGGCCTAAGCACACATTGGCATTCGTTCCGTGGGCAAAGGGAGTACCCTACTAGGGGTTGGCCTCAGCCAAGCATTAGACCAATGGGAGTCCAAGCAAAGGGAAAAGCATTGTGTCCGCGGGTTATATATGTCCAACCACCAGAGCCACCTGGCCAGAGCTACCATTTGTCCTATGAATTTGGGTGTGGCAGGTTTTCACTAGTTAGACACTTTTCATTATTTATGACTGAGTCAACCTTTCATTGACTTAGGGTTTATCTAGCTTAAATTTCATGTTCCAATGGCTAGTATTTAGTTCCATCTTTTATCAAATAAGCCAGGGTTTTACTGCTGTTTTGAAACTCTGTTTTTAAATAAAACACACGAATGTCAAATGCATTGGAATTCACTTTTAGGTATTCTATTCCCACCCACTCAGTGTTGGCTGCCTCTGGCTCCTGCAGAGATCGGTTCCCTGGGGGAAACCCTTCCAAAGGCTGGGCTGCTCTCCCCAGGCAGTGGCCCACTCACCGAAGTTGACCTTGACGTTAGGTGGCTGGCACGCAATGAGGAATTCAGACCGTGTGTCATAGAAATGCACACTTGAAACCTACATGATCTTATTAACCAATGTCGTCCCATCCATTTAGTTAAAAAATGTCAATTTAATATATAGCTCAAACCTCCAAAAAAAAAAAAAAAAAAAGGTGTGCATACTTCTGTGTGAATACTTCCTGCAACAAGACTGTTACACGGAAAACACAGATGAATCTCACAGACAACGGAAGCCAGACACCAAGGACAACAAGCTGTGTGATTCCCTCCATGTGAAGTTCAAGATGGAGCTGTGTATAAATGCTCTCGCCTGTGTGAAGTTCAAGATGGAGCTGTGTATAAATGCTCTCGCCTGGGGTGACAGATTACAGAATGGCGGCTACACAGGGGTGGGTTTTGACTGGGAGGGTCATGAGGAAGGCTTCGGGCAGGCTGGGGTGGTTTCCACCTCCCTCTTTACCCACCTTTCCTGGGCAGATAACTCTACCTGCTGGTGCACACCTGCTGCGGAGGTATAGTTTGTGTGCCGTGAAATCTCACACACATGCCCCCACTTTCTCGTTTGAGTATAAACTGCATAGAGTGTAAAAATAAATTTTTTTAAAAGTTGAACATTCTGTGACTGTGTATAGCTATGGGTGTGATGTATACACAACACGATGTTCTCTAAGGACATCACAGACACCCTGTGGCTTGTCCTGGTGCACACACGTATCCAATGTTATCAAAATGCAAGCACTGCCCTCAGTCCTCACATGCTACTTAAACAGGTGAAAAGTGTTTTTATTTTTTTTATTTTTATTAAAATGAACTATTTCTTCTAGAAACCAGTGAAGCCCAGAGTTTCTCGGGTGGAATTAGGTGACACGGTACGGACACTGCAGTCCATGACAGAGGAAGCATGACATGCATGCACACCCCAGGTGTTGTATCTCCTTCTTCATTACTTACCATGGCCAGTCAGCAAAACCATGTTCATCGGTTAGGCCCCAGGGTGATAAACAGACTTCATTCCAATGAGAATAAAAAGGGCATTACACATGGAACAGCAACCTGCTGTGCTGTATACAGAAAAGCTGCCATTCTGGGAAAGGAGGCACAGAATTTTGTCTTTCATTTTTGCAGGAAGCTTCTGAAAGTCATTACTGTGAGGCCTAACTAGATTTAATATCAAACTGTCACTCAGCGTCTGGGAAGGGCATCATGTCAATACTGCAGCCTTCCGTGGCCTGCATTCCAATAACAGACTGTCATACTCACCGGGTGCTGCACAAGGCTATCTCTGAATAATAATGATATTGGTAATAATGATATTAGCCACCATTTTTATGAACGCTTTTTAAAAAATGGAGTAGGCATTGTGCTAAGCATTTTAAATGTCTTTGCTCACCGACTTCCCATAATTGATCTTGAAGGAGGGATTTGGGGTATTTTATTACACCCATTTGATGCGGGGAGAACAGTAAAGATCAGACTGGCGTGACCAATTGCCCACATTTCCCCAGAAGTTTCTTTGCTTGTACCACAAAGTCCTGGGCAAATTGCGGTGAGTTGGTCACCTTCTAAAAGTGCCTTGCTTGATATTTAAGCAAGTCAATATCAAGAGAGGAATGTACACCTCTTCTGTCCTCAGCTGCTCTGATTTCCTACCAATGGCCAGCCCCGCATCACAGGTCAACAGGAAAGGCATTTTTTTGGAACTGGAGACTATTCTCTCACACGACATAATTGAAAATGTCATCTTGCCTCTTTCTGTCCCCACGTCGCTGAGTGCGTACAGCTGAGCGTGCCTTTACACGCCCAATGGGCACACGAGTCCCTGCCATCGGACGTCCGTGTGACAGCCACTCACTCACCTTGGGGAGTGGGTAGAGGTGACACAGTGGCTGGCCCGGGCCCTGGTGACAGAACTTCAGTGTGTGACACACCACGTCAGCATTCATATCAGCGCTGAGCCTGCAGGGAGATGGGCCAGACAAAGGTGACTAAGGTCTCTCAGGCATTAGAAAGTAGAAGCGATTTCAAAGCAAGCTCAGTCCCAGAACGGATCCTATGCCCATCCCTGCTGGGCAGCGTGGCCTGGAGTCCGTCCTGGGTGTGCTGGCTCACAATGATCCCCTGCCCCCCTGCTCGCACCTGCATTTAGAACGAGGTGCCAGGGGTGTGGAGGGGGTGTGAGCAGCCCTGAGCTGTGTGTCAGCTTTACCAGAGCATGACATTCTTTTAGGCAGAAGCCACAAACACAATTGGGAAAGGAAAGGTGGACAGGGGTGTAATCTGATGGAAACACTATTTTAAAGTTCCCCAGGGATTACAGCATAAATAAATAAATAAATAAACAAACAAACAAACAAACAAATAAATGATGTATGGTATAGCCTTCAACTCCTACAATTATTTTCTTAGGCATAATCCAAATCATTGAATCCCTTTAAAGTAAATATTTCCTTACTTTGTGTAAGAAAATACAATTAGGCTGACTGTTCCCCCTGGGGAGGGGGTAAGAATTGTACTCTTCAAATATTTCGGTTTATGTCTAGGTTTGAAGGGACTAAACCAAACCTTCCATAGCCATTTTCTTCCTCGTCTTACCAAGAACAATGAGCACCATGTGCTGCTTCAAATGAAGGGACAGGGAAGCAGGCACTTTGAGTAACTTTTCCAAGTAAATTATTCATCCAAGCCCAACCCAGCCCAAACCACACCTTACAAACGCAACAAACACAAAGAATCCAGAGGCACATTGGTACTACCCAAGGGCTAATCTCGGAAGGACAGTTACAGATTCTAGAAGATATGTCCCTCCCTCCTCCCATACCCATATTAGTTGCTTGCTGCGTTTCTCCTCTCGCAGTGTGCTCCTCTTACAGCTCATTTTAATCAACAAGATGCAGTTCTGGGGTGAGGTGGGCCCTGACACTGACAACCTCATGATCTAGTTTTACATGAGTTTCAGGTTCCAACAGTAAATGTGGTTCCTAACCCGGAAGGCATCATGCCTCTTCATTATTTCACACCAGTCAAGTCTTAGTGATTAATGGACTATTATTCAGCAATTACACATCCAACCCACAGGCAAGTCACAGGATGTTGTTAGGAGTGGGACACCTGAGCATTCGGGTTTATTGTCCCAAGACCCTGGGTCATGCAGGGAGGGCTACTTCTAAGAGCAGCCCATCGTAACCAGCGACCTCATGCCGGGTCCTCCTATGCCTGGTCTTGGCCTCCATTGTGATACAGTTTGTCATAGCAAAAATGGATCCTGGTCTTCTGTTTGCCTTACCTGCCTTCCTGGTATCTATTTATACTTCCCACTCAATCATGAAAGTTTGTATTCTGAACCTAGGAGCTCTCAGAGATCAGGAGAGGCCTCAACTACAAAATTTTTTAGAAGAAAAATGAAAAATGGGGTTTCTAGCAATTATGACCCACAAGGGGAAATCATTTATTGCATCGTCTTCTTCAAGTGCCCTCCGCCCTCCCCCGTACACAGAGAATTAGTCACCTCATGACCTTGAATCACCTCAGAACCATTTCCTCCCCTTCCCACGACCGATTGGGAGCAACTCTCTGTAGGTGGCTTGCTGGGCCCATTCTTTCTTAACACCTATGTGCATTTGAAGTTGTGGAAGGCACCTGCAGGGCCTGGTACAGGGTCTGTCTGTCTGCCTGTCTGTCCTCTCTCTGATCCTTGTTCCTATCTGGTTCGCCCACTCACTATTGACAAGAACTGGGATACCGCAGCTCCAGGCCTTGCTCTGTAGCGGCTCCCACTGGGAACGCGCAGGCTGCCTCCGAGTCTCTCTGCTCCCTGCCTGTCCCAGAGAAACATCAGGTCAGCGTGCCGGCGTACTCACAGTTTGATGATATCTGGTCCAAATGTGCGGACCACTAGGTAGCAGGTGGCTTTTAAGAACAGCTTTTCTAAGGAAAACAAAGAGGGCAAAGGGAATATTTTTTTATTATGATGAATATAACATACAAGTTGATAATGATCATCTTTCCTAGGAACTAAGCTGAGTGATTAACTGATCGTTAACACAAGCCATTAATTGTAAGGGTTGGTGGGATGTTACAGTTAATGTAGCCATTAAAATATCATTTCCATATCAGGTTCACGGGCATGCCAGGGTGTTTACTGTACATGCTAAAGAGCACTTGTGTGTTTTTAGAACGCAGTTAAATTCCGGGCTTTTATTTTACTTTTATAGCAGCAAACATCTGAATGGGGGTGATCTCATTGCTGAAGTTGAAAGAAACAGGGCTCGCTTTCAAGTACGTAATCTGAAACACTGCTTTGTTAAAAATGTTCTTCCCTGGTGTTCATTTGGAGAAAAAGACTTTGCCTTGGCTATTTCGTTTTTGTGGCTGGTATTTCAGAGATAAAAGGAGACCATCTCTGAGAGGTGTTCCTGCCCTGCAGTCTCTCTCTCTCTCTCTCTCTCTCTCTCTCTCTCTCTCTCTCTCTCTCTCTCTCCTCCACAGAAGTGCTCTGTGGGTTGATCTGCCTACATGGTGAGAAGTGTTATCTCCCTGGACCTGTTCTCGAGTTTGTGGGTTCTTGTGGGATCTGGGAATCCCAGGGAGGACCTCGGCACAGTCAGGGACAGATGGGCTGACCTGGGAAAGGATGGGAAACCCTCCCAGAGGAGAACTGACCTGGTCAGGCTCATCTCAGACTGGGTTTCCCTTGCTTGGCAGGTAGGAAAGTGAAAACACACAATCAATTCAGGAAACTTTCTCTTGTTCTTCATTTTTACTCAGTGGTAAATAATGTCAACATTTTATGATAAATTAGATACAGTCATAGAACTTTTTCTTTTTTACAATAATATATAAGACTTTGAACACAGTGTGCTTTTTAAAAATATTTTTTGAATTGATTTCAGAGAGAGGGATAGAAACATCCATGCTGAGAGAATCATTGATTGTCTCCTGCAGGACCCAAACAGGGGATGGAGCTTGCAACCCAGACATGTGCCTGACCAGGAATCAAACCCTGACTTCCTGGTTATGGATTGATGCTCAACCACTGAGACACATAAGGCCAGCAGGGGAGGGCAGTTAGGGGTGACCAAGCTGGCAGGCAAGTGAACAGTTAGGAGCCAGTGGTCCCAGATTGTGAGAGGGATCCTGGATTGGGGAGGGTGCAGGCCAGGCTGAGGGGACCCCCCCCTCCCATGCACAAATTTCATGCACCGAGACTCTAGTAAAAATAATAAAAAATGATGAGGGAATGCTATGAACATCTGCCTGACAGCAAAATAGATCACTTGGATCACATGTGTCAAACACACGGCCCGCGGGCCAAATCCGTCCCGCCAGGCCTTGCAATGTGGCCGGCACCGCGCTGTCATCACTGCACTCCGCTGCGTTTCCATCACAATGACAGTTTATGACTGTTCAGTAAACCATTCGGCCCGCGATTTAGGCTGGATTTTAGATTTTGGCCCCTTCTCTGATTGAGTTCGACACCCCTAACTTAGATGAAATGCAAAAACTCCTAGAAAGACCAACTGTCCAAATGGAGTCAAGAATAAACAGACAATCTGAGAAGACATATAACAAGAGATTGAATTAGTTATCAAGAGTTTCCATAAATAAACCAGGACCAGATGGCTTCACTGGTGAATTGTACCAACTCTTTTAAATAAGCATCTGAATAGACATTTCTCCAAAAAAGATATGCAAATGGTCAATGAACACATGAAAAGATGCTCAACATCCTTAGCAATTAAGAAAATGCAACTCAAAACCACGGGAGATACCACATCACGCCCACCTGGAGATGCTATAATCAGAATGACAACTAGTAACATGCATTGGGGGTGTGGAGAAACGAAATCCTCATACACTGCCAGGAGGGTGGGAGATGGGAAACGGGGCAGCCACTTCGGTAAGCAGTCTGGAAGTTCCTCAAATGGCTAAGCATAGAGTGACCATAGGGCCCAACAATCCTAGGTATGCACTCACGGGAATAAAAAGCGCACACATCCATGTAAAAACGTGTACAGGGACGATCAGAGCCGCATGATTCAAAATAGCCAAGAAATGAAAGCAAGTCAACCGGAATATCCGTTAACTAATGACCGGGTGGACGGAGTGGGCCCAGTCCACACAATGGAACATCACTCAGCACACAGAGCAGTGACGTTCTGACACACACTACACAGATGACCACAAAAACCTCATGCAGAATGCAAGAAGCAGTTCAAAAGACCATATTGCATAATTCCGCTTATTTGAAAGGCCCAGAATATGCAAATTCAGAGATAGGAAGTAGATATGGTTGCTCAGGGCCTGGGAGGTTGCAGGTTTGGGGGTATGGAGAAGGGGAGCAGGTCGCTTTTGGGTACAGTGAAAATATTCTGAAGTGAACTGTGCCGATGGAGGCTCCATTCTGTGACTAAAACCACCGAATTATATACTTTGAGGGGGCAAAGTGTAAAATATGCGACTCTCAGTACAACTGCCTAAAAATGACATAGGTGCCTGGCCAGGGTGTCTCAGTGGTTGAGACTTGACCCAGAAACCAAGAGGTCATGGTTCGATTCCGGGTCTGGACACATGGCTGATTGCAGGCTCAGTCCACAGTGAGGGGTGTGCAGGAGGCAGCCAACTGATGTTTCTCTCTCATCATTGATGTTTCTATCCCTCTTCCCTCCCTTCCTTTCTGAAATCAGTAAAAACATATTTTTACAAAATGATTATGCTCTTCTCCCTGGGATGCTGAAGTGAAGGGCGACCGGAAGCTCTGAACATCAGACCTCAGGCCCCAGCTCAGCACCTGCTCAGGCTTCTGCCTGTAGTCGGGCTGCAGCCTCCTTGTCTGAAAGAGAAGTGGTTCAGTGTCTGTCGGCACCATGCTGGGAGTTTGGAGAGCTATGTGACAGAGGCAGAAGCATTGGGAAGCATGCTGGAAGCGAGTTTCAGGTGTGGCTAACGGAGAAAGAACTTGGCCAAGAGCAGATGGATTTAAAACTGACACCAGGCTGTTTTGATTAACTTGCAGGACTGCCTGGTGAAACTAGAAGTGTGTGTGAGTGTGCACGTGCATGTGTATGTATGTGTGTGAGAGCACATGTATGTATGTGTGTGAGTGTGCACGCGTTAGTGTGAGTGTATGTGCATGTCAGTGTGAGTGTGTATGTGTGTGTGTGTGTGTGTGTGTGTTCTTTCATTCAGAAGTGTGGAGATATAAAGGAAGGTTTCTAATAGATTGTGAATGTCCGATAATATTATAGGAGGATGGATAAGTAATGTGGAGGCCATTTATATGGAGAAGAACTAGAGGGAGATTAGGAGGCGTGGCCTAGCGCTGTGTGTCTTACTGTGTGCAGACCTCAGCATCCTGCGGGGTGACAAAGAGAAGCCGCAGAGTGGCGTGTACAGTGGGCACTGATGCAAATTTGAAGCTCCCAGGAGGGAGGATTCTGGGAAGATGACAGTTGGGGCAGCAGTTTTGGAATTTCTTTGAATCTTAAACAATTTCTCTCTCTGACATAAAACAACTCAAACCCAGATTGGTGATATTTAGGGCACCATCTTGGCTTCTTCTGACTCATAATAGGAAATTTCAGAGGCTGTTGAGGTACAATGAGAGAGAGAGAGAGAGAGAGAGAGAGAGAGAGAGAGAGAGAGAGAGAGAGAGAGAGAGAGAGAGAGAGAGAGAAAGAGAGAGAGGAAAACATATGGATAGGGAAACCAAAAATCATAGACAATAGTTTCAACAAAGCTAAGTATCTCCAAGGTCCCCAGCGTATAATAGACAAGGTAAACCACACAGAGCCACAGGCCCTGTGGGTTATCAGCGTCTTATGGAAGAAATGGGATGTCAGATAAACCCAAGCACAGGATGATCCCCGAATAACCCAGAGGTGTGGGCTGGGAAGGTGGTGGGCCTGGGAGGGGCTGTGCCCGCTGCAGCCCAGGTGCGGACAGAGGCTCCAGGCAGGAGGGTTGGGCACCTGCAGTCAAGAAACTGACCAGCAGAGCCCTCTGCAGGACAGAGCCCAGGGAAGAGGAACTGCTGGCCTTGGAGCCCACATTGAGCAGGACTGGAGCCCTGTAAAGAGAAAACCAGAAAAAGTGGGCAGGGGAGCAGAGTCAGGAAACCTCAGAAAGCAAGCTGTCTCTCCCCCATCCCCGCCCCCAAACACACACACGCACCCAGAAACAGCAGAAGCAGGAGTTCTGTGCATTTAGAAAAGCTCCCCCAAACCACTTCTTTTTCTATATGAAAACTAATTTCATATAAAAACGAGCAACAGAAATGTATCTAGGTCAACACCCATACAAAGTTATTATAAGAAGAAAAAAGAATAAGGAACAGAATCAAATCCCCACAGATAGCAAAAGCATGCCAGAAAGTCATTCCAAAAAGGGATTAAAACACAATATTTCAAAATGAACTAAGAAGCATTAATAAAATGACATAGACATGAAAGAACAACAGAAATGAGAATTAGAAAACCTTAGGCATGGAAAAAACAATTCAGGGAAGAGTACAAGATTATAAACTAAATGAAGTCTGAACTAGAATGAACAGAAGAAGGGAAGGCAATGATGATGTCTTAGGAGAAATTGAAAGGTGAAAGGGAGGAAAAATGTGATATAAAACAAATGAAGAGACAAAAAGTATTCAAGGTAGAATATTGAAGGTAGGCAAAGAAGATTCAAAATAGGAATAATAGGCATCCCTGAAGAAAAAACAAAACAAAACAAAATAAGGCAACTGAACAAATACTACCAACTTTCCTGAAATTGTAAGAAATGTATATGAACACTCCCTTCTTCCTCCTCCACCCCCCAATTGAAAGGGCACACTGCATGACTCAAAACATCCATGCACAATAACTAACACCAAGACATATTCTGGTCAAGAGGCTGAATTTCATAGAAGAAGAAAAAATAATCCTTTGAGCTTCTGGGAAAAAAACAGACTTATATAAAAAAATTAGATTATCATTATGCTTTTTAATAACATATTTAAGATACTCTGAGAAAGAAATTGTGTGCCAAGGATTTTTATTTCCAGGAAAACATTGACTTTCAAGTATAAAGGGTACAGACAGCTTGTTATCCAACATGCAAGAGATTCAGGGAATATTTCCCATGAGTCCTTCCTGAGGCATGAGCTCGAGGCAACAATTCAACTAGACAGACATGCTCAGAATGGCTGAAGGGGACCATCCATCACAGAGCAGCTGATGAAACTAATAAGAAATGAGGGTGAAAGGGAATGGGTATGGGATGGAATGGCGATATGCTCAGATAACACAGAGCGATGATTAAATAAGAGATGGGAAAAGCATGGGTAGAAAACAATTTTAACTGCTCTCAATGATTATAAAACATATTAATGGTAGTCATATGAGGACTGATATTCTGAGACTGTCCTATGTGCAATGAGGGATAGGTAAATGAATAATTATGGGCTATTTTAATTCTATCTATCCCTTTGACCTTGAGAATTAGGACTCAGAGTGTGGGAAGAAGCAGATTATAGCTATGTAGAGTACAGATTAAGAAAAATGTTCTGTAGTCCTGAATTTGAATTCCAGGTGTCAGTATGAATGCAATAGAAATATTATTTTTAAATTACGAATTTTACCTCTGTATATTTCTATCATTGTCTACCAAAGAGAAGAATGATTAGCTCAGTAGTAATGAGCATTTCTAGGCACCAGATTGTGGTCTTAAAATATTATTTTCCACCTGAAAAAACCAGGGCTTCTAAGGGAAATGACTAATGTCAAGCCTGGGGCTGGCAATGTACAGGAGAACACCTGTCATACCAGTTAGTGAGGTGACGTAGGCCCACGTCAAAGGCCTCAGGAGCCAACGAGAAGAGGGTCCCATTGGTCAAAGTTGGATAATAAATGAAATAGACTCAAACTCATCAGATATGTATAAATTCATGAGTTTATGACATTTTAAAGAAAGTCAATTGACTACTTTGGGATGATACTAGAAAGGCAGCGAATTGTTTGAAAACTGGCAAATAAAACAAAATAATTAAGTATTTATCCTCCTTCCCTGGTATGAATGGTATCATTAGGGACTCTGGGCAAAATGCCTTTAAAATATTTCTGAAGAGGAGGGAACTGTCTCTAATATACTTCAGTTACTTAATGACATATATAAATGAGAGATTAAAATAGCACCATTTTGCAACCCACTGTGAACTAATAGGTCTGGTCATTGAGCATCAACAGCTGCTAACATCACAAAAAGAGAAAAATGAAAACCACTTCTGCTGGCCTCCAATGAAAGAAAACACCACACGTATAGTCTTGCCAAAGAAATCAAACTGGAGTCTGATCTAGTCTCTGGACATAGCTGCCAATTTTCAGGAAATATGGAGCACAAAGAAATGCATTCAATTATTCTGTAGGGATGCATCAGCAAAATCCAGACTATGGGAAACTCTTCAAGGCATATTCCATAGCTAAATTATAAGGAAAAGGGAGGGATGAGAAGGAAGCTAGTAGAATAAAATAGACTTAAAAGACACATCAAAAATTTTAAAACTGGTCAATGCCCACTTGGGTGATAACACTACAAAGCAATGCAAGGAAATGATTATAGTAAAATTGAGGACACAATTTTTTTAGGAAGAAGAAGGGATTTATGATGGCTTGGGGTTTGTGGATGGGGATTCCAGAATGGCTACCTATCTGTTCCTTCTTGACCTTAGCTATGTTTGCAAGTATACATTTATTTTGTGTAATTTTCTACATTTGGTTTACCAAGAAAATTTTTTTTTTAAAAATCACCCATAGAACAATACTATTCATTGGATCTAGATTATACAAATAAAAGTGAAAGTATAAGGCTTGACAAGAACAAGACCCATTAAGTTCATGTGTGTCGCTTCCTCCAGAGAGGTAGGTGGATGTAACTGGTGGTTGGGGAGACCCAAGGGTGTCTCAAAGTTGTCCTAATTAAACAAAAGCAAGACCTGATGTATGTCAAGATCTTAGCAATGGCCAATCTGGGACCTGGTAAACATGTGTGTTTGTATGGTATCCTCTCCCAGCCTTTAGTTTTGAATTTTAAATGTTTAGCTTGTGAACGCATATTGTGACTGCATGCAAGAAGTTCTCTGAAAACACTTTGGTGCGATTGGCCGAATGCTGTATAAATCGAGGATACAATCACCTTTAGTCCAACTACTTTTACTTATTTACTTAGCGAAAATAATGTAGGCACCCCGATGAATAAGTTCCTTAACATTAAATGAAATCTTGACTGTCAAGGAAATTTATACATTATGACTGTTCACCTAACAGTATCTTGAAGAGATAAAAGAATATTTTCTTTCTGCTGAGGTTGAAAAACAAATATGTGATGTGTTTAAACCACCAATCAGCTCCTTCCTTTGCAGGATGCGCAAGGGATTTTCTTGAGATCCAGTTCAAATGGATGGAATGTTCCCAGGTTACCTTCCCCTTTGGGCTTTGAGATCAGTTGTCCTTCAGCCTAATGCTTCATGCTGGATCTGCGCATGCATCCAGGTATGTGTATGTGGTCAAATGAACAAACATTATTGAAAACTGTTCAATATTTTTATCATGATTGACCACCATTATTCTGCCACAATGGGAAAAGAATGTCAGGGGATAAAACTTCCTGGAGTGTTTGTTCCCATTTCTATGAGCACCATATCAATAGACAGAAATAATACAATCAGCTTCTCCTCCACAGGCATGTGTAAGGTGCAAACTCATTAATGAAGGCCCATGATGACCCACAAGTAAGAAAAAAGCGGGGGCCCTCAGCTGCAGGCCTGTTTCCATAGTTACCTGGCAGGTAGCTGCACAGCCTCTCCATGGAGGCCTGGACCGTGGAGTTGTGGACCTGAGCCAGCTGTTCGATCACAGACACCACCAGCACACAGCCTGTAGGAGAGAAGACCATGTCAGCAGGCCGCACAGAGCTGTGCTGGGGAGTCCGGGGAAGAAAGGGGCAATGTGTGTGTCCTCAAGAACACCAGCTCTTTCCAAAGAAGAGAACTCCTGTTTGCCATTCACCTTCAACAACCTACCAAGGGCAGAATTCACTGTGACTTGTAGTGAAACGTGATGTGTGGTAAGAAGATGGTGGGTTTGGGGTTAGAAAGGCTAGTTGTCAGTCAGCTTTGCCACTTGTAATCTACGTGACCTTGAGGGAGTCCATGAATCATGCTTTTTTCCTTTTATTTATTTAATTTTTTAATTTTTATTATTACATGGGAGGAAGGTGTCATCTATAGGAAGTTGTGCTAGGGTTGAGTCTTGCACCTAAATCTTGGACTTACCATCCAGACTGTCTAAGCTTTGGTTTCCTCTCTGCAAAGTAAGTCCTAACACATGTCTCATGGGGATGCTGTGAAGATTAAATGTGATAACTGTGGGGAGCAGGAGACTTGGTTGGAAAGTTTATAAGGAGGAAAATTCTGAAGAGCACCACGGGGCAGCGCTCCACAGAGAGAAAGGAAACCCGAAGGAGGAGGCCTTGCCAACAAAGACACTGCAGCAGCAGACGAGGCGCGGGCATCCACTGCTCTGTGCCCTCAGTAAGCTGGGCAGAGCTGGGCGGAGCAGATCTTAGCTGGTTTGACCTTGAGAGCCACGGCCTCAGTCCTCGGAGAGCAACTCCTGGTAGGGCCTTTATCCACGCCCACTATCAAGGTCCAGTAGATGTGCTTTTAACCTGGTCCCTGCACCCAGAATTTTATCACCTTGCAATGAATTTAGTAGCTGATACTTATTAGCATTTTATGGTCGAGAAAGCACTTTCATATATATTTTCTTTTATTTTAAAAATAAATTTTAAAATAGATGCAATGCAATCTCATTTTAGAAAATTTAAAAAAGTATATGGAACGGCATAAAAAAGATGAACGTCACTCAAATCACCCAGAATTAAGCCAATTTCACTTTTATTTTAAATACATAAAATATGTTCAATACATGATAATATTTTCACCACATAGAATACACTTTTACAGCCTGACTTGCCTCTGCCTTGCCTGTTAAGTTAGCTGGAACTAAATGAATTTTATCAGCAGTTGAGAACCAATTACAAATAATAACGTTGCATTGTGATAAGAGTTGGCAGTGAGGTACAGTTGAAAAAGGGGGAGGCTTTGAAATAAGAAAAGCAGACTTGGATTCCAATCCTGGCTCCGTCACTCACAGATGAAGTGCCTGTAAATGGGTTACTAGCCTGGGACTCCGTGTGTAAGAGCTGAGAGTTAGCGTACCCTCCGGGAGGGTGACTGGGTCTTCCTCTCACTCGGGGGCCTGACGGAGGCCTGGTTTGCAGCAGGGGGACTGGAGGTGTTTGCTGACCTGATGTGAGCTAACGGGAGGAAGCTACCCGAGTGACATTGCCCTTGGCGGTTGCTGGGGGTCTCCATGGGGGAGGGCTCACGGTGCACCTGCTGCTGCTCTGACTCAGGCACCTCCCAGAGGCGGCGCGTTGTTTATCTTTGTTCTGGTCTCATCACAGGATGTGGCTCCCTGCTCACCTGGTGTGAAACGGCCAGTGCCCCTTCCTGAGTCAGGACCGAAGAAGCAGGAGGTGGGGGCGGGTGGAGATCCTGCACAGTCACTGCCTCAGAAGGCATCTTGTCAAGGAGCTGCAAGCGGGGCGCCAGAGAAGGGACTTCCAGAAAATCTAAGCAGAGGAGGGGGGAGGAAGGCATCCCAGGAAAGGAACGAGGCTGGGGGCCGGAAGAGTGTGGCTTCTTTCTCCACACTTTCCACAGTTAGTGGCACGTGTCCTTTCTCTCCGGGTCCTAAAGGAACAATGCCTCACAGGGGGTAGACTTGGTGAGGTCAGCGAGCAGGAGTATGGGGTGAACGGGACCGACAGGGACTCTTGTTGGAATTTTTCTCCGGAGGCTCCATAATCGGGGGTCCCAGTGACCACAAACCCTGCACACCACACCACCCCCTTCCCCATCCCCTAATGGGCTGCACTGCTCAGGATCAACGGAACTTCGTACTTAAAGACGTGGGCTTTTCTTGTACTCAGCAGAATCCCACCCAGGGTTCATTTAAATAAATATATATACTGTTTTTAGAGAGAATGGAGAGGAAGAGAAACATCAATTGGCTGCCTCTTGCACGCACATACCCTCTACTGGGGATTGAGCCTGCAGCCTGGGCATGTGCCCCAACCAGGAATCCAACCGTGACTTCTTGGTGCTGGACCACACTTAACCACGGAGCCACACGGCCAGGGCCCCCCACGGGTTCCTAGACTTTCCTGACTCCTTATGGCTGCAGGCTGACATTGGAAGTCATTAGATCAATAAAAAGGAGCCCAGGGAAGAAGTCAGTGTCTCTGAAGACCAGTGGGTCTTGGCACCATCATCTCTCACGTGCTGACCAAGGGCGCCCTGGGGAAAGCAGGCGATGGGGCTAAAATCCGTGAGCGCCCAGGTGGGGCCCGGCTCTGACGTGAGTTCTGCCCATTTCCCGTGGGCCCACTCCTCTCCCCAGCGATTGCTCATTCAGGGTCTACAGTGAGGCACGTCCCCGGTCCCTCAGTGGCAGGAACGGAGACACTGGCCCTGCTCTCGCTTCTAACAAGAGGCTGCACTGCCCTGACAAGTGAAGAATGCTTTCCTGGGGAGAGACGCACGGGCAGAGCGATGGCTCCATTACAGACTGCTCTCCGGCTGCCAATACAGGTCTGGCTCTGCTAACTCCAATTTGTCGCAGCGGCTGTTCATTAAGGCAGCGAGGACAGCGGGTGGGCGCTGTGCATTCTCTCCGGTCACCATCTGCCATTGCAGGACAAAGGCTCCTCTCACCTGGCGTGGGAAATAATGAGTCTAATGGAGCCAGGAGAGGCAGTGCCGGGGCCGAACAGAAACACCCGCACAGAGGCCTGCTCCTGGGCACAGCGCGGAGGCTGCAGGCTGGCCGCAGCATCCTTAGACGGGCACGGAGCTCTTGGAGCGCTGGTTCCACTCGGATCTGCGCTGCTGGCAAGGCAGCCAGCTGCAGAGAGCGGCCTGCCGGACGCCCGTTGGTCTGAAGCCACACTCCACCAAAAAGCCTTGAAAACACCTGGCAGTTGTGAGCCTGGCTCCCTGAGACTGCACTTCCTCCTTCACCCGAGGAGGAGCAGAGTGACTCATTCCACCATGAGTGTCCTTTCAGCCTTCAAAGTGTATGGCATGCATTAGCATCTCATTCAAACCCCACCGAGGCGGAGGAACCACTGCTCCACACGGTTAGGTGTGCAGGAGCGGGGCTGGAACAGAGTGGGTATTGGCTGAGTCCCTTCCAGATTCAGGCGCTGTGCTGGGCGGTGAGCTCAGGCTGAGAACACACAGGTATGGCTCCTGCCCTCTTATGTTATTTGAGGGAAAAGGGATCATAAGTAAGCAAACACAATTATAAATAATTTGGGGTGCTCTGAAGAGAAGGAGCAGGGTGAAGTAACAGAGGGAGTGATGAAGAGGTGGTATAATCCTTCGTAAGTAGAGCCGATAGAGGACATTTCTTGGAAGAACACATAAATGGCTAATATAACGGAAAGGAGAAAGCAGATTGGGAAACTGGAGCAGGCTTTGTAGGCAGGGGGCGTTGGTGCCCACTTCAAAGTAATGAACCTGGTGCCAGTAGAGGGTGTGCAGGAGGCAGCTGGTCGATGTTTCTCTCTCATCGATGTTTCTAGCTCTTTGTCCCTCTCCCTTCCTCTCTGTGGAAAAATCAATAAAATACATTTAAAATAAAAAAATAGCTCATAAACTTATCTTTGAAAAAAACTGTAATATCAACAATGTTTTAGCTTTTCTATGTTGTTTTTTTAACTGCAGGTATTTAGAGTTTTCACTACATCTGTGGCCTTTCACAATCCCCCTGAAATATCGTTTTTATCAGAAAACGCTCACTGGGTTCCAAAGTGCTAACTATCCCAAGAACACTGGCAATGCTAATGGCACTATATCAGATGAGTGCTGGTGAGAACAGGGCTGAGGGCATTCGAAGGAGAGCAGGGCCCAAGCCAGGGCAGGGAGAGACCATGAAGGCTGTGCTGAGAGGTACAGGATGGTTGGCTTGGCTGGTTTAGAAATACATAAAGCATTCATGATAAAGAAACAAGAGTGAAGACACCAGGAGCCATTCCATCCTGTTATGCATTCAACACCTACTTATGAGCACCTACTACGTGCTCAGAGGAGACCAAGGTGAGTAAGAGAAGTTACAGACCAGGAGGAAAGACTGATGACCAGAAGAACCATCTGGTCATTGCAGCCTGTAGGTGCTGGGGTACAGGGACCTGTTAGAGCTTTGGGACCACAGAGGAGGAAGGACCTGAACTCTGCTCTGGGAAGCAGTGACCGTCTCCTGGCGAAGCTGAGCCAGAAGGAACGGGAGGACCTCACTTGACAGAAAAAGGCAGGAAAAGCCTTCAGGAAGAGACCTGTGGGTGAGAGAGAAGAGCTGGCCAAGGCTCCATGCTGTAGAGTCCAGCGTGCAGATCAATGGCCTTCAGACATTTTGCTCTGAACCCCCCTTGAAAAAATGATGTACCTCTTCCACATATTAATGGATGTTTAAGTATGATTAAATATATATCAATTTAAATAGCTGCAAAAGGTATAATTTCAGGCAGACTGTAGATATTACAATAGAAATATTATAGTATATCAATCTTCTATATATGTCCAAAGAAATCTAAATATGATAGTGATTTATATGTATTCTTATCCACGTTCTTTCACATTGAGAAATGTATCTTGATAATTCCTCTCTTTGAATTCATATTTCAATGAAAAGTCTACTCCTTTGTATTTTTCTTCAATTATCAAATTTTATCCCAATGGAATATACTTTAATGGTTGAAAGTATTTTATTGGCCACACTATTATACTTCTTAACATTAAAATCAGGTA